AAAAACGTCAATAAGATAAAATATCACATTCAAATCATAATTATTTCACTTTTCCTTCCAAAATCATCAAATAAACTATCAAAAAAAAAAAAAAAACTAACTATCATCACAAAAATAACTTTTTTAATTAGTTTAAAATAATCAAAAAAATTGATTAAAATAATGTATTCTCAAACGAAACCATAAGACAAAGGCATTATTAGGCCAAGTTTGGGATGTTCCAAAAAAGTTAAAAAGCCAAAAAGTTACTCAAAAAGTTAAAAAGTTAATACTATTCACCAAAAGTCAACAATTACGGCTGCACAACTCTCAATTCAAATTTTTTCCTACAAATCAATTTTTACAATTTTTTATTACACATTTTTCAATAAAAAGTCAAAAAGTTAACCCAAACATTCATATTTTCAACCTCAATTTTTTAGTCCAAAAAGACAAAAAGTGCACTTATTTAGTCTTCCCAAACTTGGCCTTAGAGTTGCTCTAATACTAAACCAAACCAAACCAAGCCTTAAGTCCCATCAAATGGGGGTCGGTTACATGAATCATTCTTCTCCACGCAGCCCTATCAAAGGCCATTTCATTAGTCAAATTAAGTAGATTCATATCTCTATTTAAAACGCTAGTCAACGTTAATTTAGGCCTACCCCGTCCCCTAACACTTTCATCTACCGTTACAGCATCGCATCTCTTCATTACTGCCTCTGTTGGTCTCCGTTGAATATGACCAAACCATCTCAAACGATTCTCTCTCAACTTATCTTCTATCGGTGCTACTCCTACTCATTCCCGAATACACTCATTCCTAATCCGGTCTTGTCTAGTCTTACCACACATCCACCTTAGCATCCTCATCTCAGCCACACTCATCTTATCTACATGTTGTTTCTTGGTTGCCCAACACTCCATCCCATACAACATAGCTGGTCTAATAGCCGTTCTATAAAACTTACATTTTAATCTAGTGGGTATTCGTTTATCGCACAATACTCCAGACGCACTTCTCCACTTACACCATTTCGCCTTAATCCGATGGGCCACATCTGCATCAATCTCTCTCGCTATTGTGATAAATAACCCTAGATAACGAAAGTGTTCACTCTTAGGCAATTCTTGGTTCTCAGTCTTCACTTCTCCCCTGCTTTCATTGTTACTGTTACTAAATTTACACTCCATGTATTCTGTCTTAGTTTTGCTTATCCGGAATCCTTTAGATTCAAGAGTTTTTCTCCAAATCTCTAACTTTGTGTTAACTCATTCTCTAGTCTCATTCACTAGTACAATAACGTCTGCAAAAAGCATGCACCATGGCACGTCATCCTGAATATTTATCGTCAACTCGTCCATAACTAAAGCAAAAAGATAAGGACTTAAGGTAGATCCTTGGTGTAACCCTACAGTGATAGGAAATTCATTTGTTTCTCCAGCTGGCGATCTAACAGTGGTCACCACCCCTTCATACATGTCCCTAATCACGTCAATGTAACCTTTTGTCACCCCTTTCTTCTCTAACACCCACCATATTATATCCCGGGGCACTCTATCATATGCTTTCTCAAGGTCGATAAACACCATATGAATGTCTTTTTTCTTTTCTTTATACTTTTCTATTACTCTCCTCAAAAGATAGATCATTTCCATTGTTGACTTGCCAGGCATAAACCCAAATTGATTCTCTGACACCTCTGTTATGTCTCGCAATCGGCGTTCCATCACCCTCTCCTACACTTTCATTATATGACACATTAGCTTAATTCCTCTATAGTTGTTACAATTCTGGACATCACCTTTATTCTTATAGATTGGCACTAAAATACTCTTCCTCCACTCATCTGGCATGTTCCTAGTCAACAAAATTTTGCTAAACAACCTAATCAACCAACCAACTCCCTTTTTACCCAAACACTTCCAAGCTTCAATAGGGATATCATCGGGTCCTAAAGCCTTATTTAATTTCATCTTCTTAAGTGCAATTTCCACTTCAAAGTTCCTAATCCTGCGATAGAACCTATAGTCTTGGTTTATCGTATTACTATCTATTTCTTCCCTTATTGTTGTACCTCCATGTTCCTCATTTAATAGTTTCTCAAAATAATTCTTCCATCTTTCCTTAATCTCATCATCATTCACCAATACCTTAGAATCCTCACTCTTGATGCACTTTACTTGATTAAAATCTCTTGTTTTCCTCTCCCGTATCTTAGCAAGTTTGTATACCCTCTTCTCTCCCTCCTTACTATCTAGTCTAGTGTATAGGTCATCATATACTTTCAACTTGGTCTGTCTCACTACTTTCTTGACCTCCTTATAAGCCAATCTATAGCTCTTAAGGTTTTCCTCAGTTCTATCCTTCTGCCACTTTTTAAAGCACTATTTTTTTGCCTTAACTACAGCTTGAACCTATTCCCTCCACCACCAAGTTTCCCTAGAGCTGGGTCTCGTTCCTTTCGACTCTCCAAGCACTTCCATTGAGATTCTCCTCATAAAATTGGCCATCGAGTTCCACATAGTATTAGCATCACCTTCTAAGTTCCAAGTACCTTCTTTATCCATTCGATTCTTAAATATTTCTAGTTTATCCCCTTTTAGGTCCCACCATCTCGTCTTACGACGCCTACCATCCTTCTTAGCTTGGTATTGCCCTTTAAAACATAAATCTAGTACCAAAATCCTATGTTGAGAGACCAGACTCTCTCCAGGAATCACCTTACAATCATTGTATTTTAGGCGGTCCACTTTTCTCACTAAGAAGTAATCTATTTGACTCTTAACTAATCCACTCTTAAAGGTTATCAAATGCTCCTCCCTTTTCTTATACATAATATTGGCCACCACTAGGTCAGAAGCCAACGCAAAATCTAAGATACTCTCTCCAGCCTCATTTCTGTCACCAAAATCGTATCCACCATGCACCCTTTCATAACCTAGTTTATTTATGCCCACATGGCCGTTAAAATCTCCACCTATAACTAGGTTCTCTCCTACGGGTATCTCCTGTAAGATCTCATCCATTTGCTCCCAAAAATCCCTCTTAGTCTGATCATCTAACCCTACTTGAGGAGCGTATGCGCTAATAATGTTCACTATATTCCCTCCAATAACTAGTTTAACTAGCATAATCCTATCTCCTTTTCTAGTGACCGCCACTACACTTTCCACAAGACCCTTGGTAATTATGATTCCTACCCCATTCCTACGTTTATCCTTACCACTATAATATACTTTAAAACCGGTATCCTTAATTTTCCTAGCTTTCTCTCCCGTCCACTTAGTTTCTTGTATGTAAGCTATACTAACTCTCCTCCTAATCATAACATATACCAATTCCATCGTCTTACCAGTTAAGGTTCTTATGTTCCAAGTGGCTACCCTAAACCTATAGTCCTGGACTAGCTTCTTTAATCGCGCTCGTCCAGAAAAGTGCGGAAACCTTTGCCCATTTTTCACCGCACCCAGGCGTCGATGTGGCGCCCCTTGCTCACTTTTCGAAACACCCAGAGGCACGCGCAACGCGTCACTTGAGGGGAACGACCTAGCATTTAAACAATTCAAAGTAGGATTCATTTTCATAAGGGATCCGAGCGGCTTTTTTACGTGTTGGCTGTCGGCTACCTAACACACAACCCTCCTCCTTAACCTGGGCTTGGGACCGGCGGAGTTGTTAACAACCCCGGCGGAGTTGCTCTAATACTATGCATAATAAAAACATAGGCTCTGTTTAGAAGAGTTTTAGAATTGTAATTTCATCTCTTGGTTTGCATGTGGTGTTTGGTTGTAGTTTTCAAAATTTAATTTTGCACCCACTTTTGAAAACTCCTTTCCAAGCGGGAAAATTTGACTAACCGGGTTGTCCCCCGGACATCCGCCCGATTGACCAGAACAGTGTACTTTTTTTTTTTGCACCTGCTATTTTTATATTTTAAATAAAAAATATTTTCAGAATTTTTAAAATTTTTTTTTATGAGTTTTGAATAGGATTTTAGATTGTGTATTTGGTTATGAGTTGTAAGTTTTTATGTTAAATATCATATGTCACATCGTTCATTTTAAACTCTTTTCAAAACTCATAACTAAATAAATTTTCTACACTCAAATCATAATTCTAAAACTTATAAACTCAAAATATATTCTTAAATCATATTTAAAAACTCAGTAAAATTGATTTTCTACATTTACGACACCGAACAGACTAACGAGAATAGGTAAATTGAACCAGACCAGTAAATTCGGGGTTGGTTGAGTGCAATTTACCAGGTTGGGCATTTGTTTCCCCAAAAAAAAAATTTGCCGTTATTTTAAATTTTTTTTTATAGATCAATTTAATTAAAATATAAGGCAACAAACAACAACACAATTGCCTCAAAACTAATTTATCAAATATCAAATTCAACAATAGTAAGAGGTAATGCTTGTATATTATTTGAATGTTTGGTAAATTCGACATAACCGATAAATTCAGTTCGGTTCGATTCGGTTCAACGTGAAATCTCCAAAACTAAACATTGAACCGAATTCCAGAGAAAAATAATATCAACACAGACTGATTGTTTGGCAATGCAAAAAATAGACTGAAAATTGATTGGTGTTGTTTGTCTGTTCGGTGTAAGTGGTTTTTCTTTCGCCCTTAGTACCAACAAAGATTTTTTTTTTTTCTCGGGTAGACGAAAGGGCAAGCGAGGCTAGTATTGTCATTTTTATGTTGTTGACTTGCTCAGGTAGATAGTTTAGTATTTCCAAAGTAATGCTACATCTATCGAATTTGATTTCGTTCAAATTGGATTTCGTTCGAATTGCCTGAATTTGTGCATATTGATCGTTTGACAGGTCATCTTGGAGGTTGTGTCATGATCCGAACCCGCCCCTAAAGGGTAGGATCATAACCAGCCAGTAATCATTAGATTACCTACGGCCTCAGACAGAAAATAAATTTTAAATAATCATATGGGGCCAAAAGCGGAAGCAAAAAGATAATATTTGTCCAATAAGTTTGTGCATAAATGGAATGAACAAAACATTTCGTATATTAACAACTCACACCAAACATACCCACATCAAAGACATTCTATGTCTAGGTCTATGCAACAACATATTTATACAAAACCATAGCTTATATACAGATAAGGTCAAACATGACCATCAAAAGATGACAAAAGGGTCAAAATGAAAGTTCTAAAACTAAGGCCTCGTTCGTGAGGCGTGTCATGGTTAACTCCACAAACTTAACATTCTTTCTTGGGTTCGTTACAGTTGGGGTTGGGCATCATGTTGCTCACCTACATACATATATTCAAAGAGTGAGCGAAAGTCCAGTGAATAATACCATAGTAAAGAGGTTATACGAATGAGATTCATATTAAGTACATTGAACCCGTAAATTTCATATACAAACGGCCTTAGGCCCATTATATGTTTTTCTTGTACCTGTTAAACGGCCTTTGGCCCATTTAGATTCTTATCAAACACATCAAACGGCCTCGGGCCCATTGCACAAACATATTAGACGGCATCGGGCCCACTGCATAACTTTGTCAAACTCATTAAACGTCCTCGAGCCCAATTCAAACACTTCAGCGTATCAAATGGCATCGAGCCTATTATTTCCATATTCATATCTATGTACATTTCATATTCATGATCATAATCACTTTTCATTCAAATGGTCTTTGGCCCATTACATTCATATTCAAACGGCCTTTGGCCCATCAAAATATTCAAACGGCCTTTAGCCCATTAAAATATTCAAATAGTTTTTGGCCCACTAAAATATTCAAATAGCCTCTGTCACATCACAATATTCAAACGGCCTTTGACCCATTAAAATATTCAAACGTATCAAACGGCAAACGGCTTCAAGCCCAATTCATACTCTTATCAGACGTATCAAATGGCCTTAGGCCAAATTCAAACATATCAAACGGTCTTGGGCCCAAATCATATTCTTCACAGAAATTAGACATATAGGATACTCATTCAAAAGTCAAATCAATAAATCCATGAAGCTCATTTAGAAGCAACATTTAGAAAATAATGTACTTGAACATATCTTTACTAAGATATTACTCACAATGTTCCAATGCTGGATTCGTCCTTGCACTTGACCCTACACTGTAGACACCTCATTTTTGACCATCCTCAAGACTTGGACGTCATCGTTTGAACACTCGATGATCATCCATGTTCGTGTTCGTCTTGAGTTCTCGAAGGTCTCGATCGTGCGCCTTGCCTCAAGATCTCTCGACTTATTTGTTTTGTGCTTGGTTGGACCAAGGACTTGTGGTCTTTGCATCTGAGGGCGGGAAATGGCTTGTTGGCTATCCCCACACCCCACCGGCCTTGGTATGTTGCCACCAGCCCTATTTTATTGCTACCGGCCAAAAGTGTTGGCCGGTCGGTGTAGACACCCCATTTTTGACCGACCTTGAGACTCAGACATCACCAGTTGAGCGCTTGGTGATACTGCATATCGTGCTCGTCCAGAAGTTTTAGAGTCTCGGCTGCAAGCCTTGCCTCCGGACTTCCGGACTCTTTTGTGCTTTGCCTCGGTTTGCAAACCAGGCTCGATTTTCTCTGTTTCTTTTCCTGAGGGGAGGGAGAGGTCCCGTAGACCATCTCTCAGTGGCCGTGGGCTACATTTTGTGGCTGTAGGCCATTTTTCCCATTTCGGAGCCCGGTTCCCGGTTTTCGGAGCCGTCAGGCCGTGTGCTTCGGTTCGGGACCGCTTAACCATCTCCTATTGCTCCGATTTTTGGCATGCATCTTATTTACTCCATTTTGAGGGACACTGAGGTCTGAGAGGCCCACTTCGTGGTCGAACACCACTCCCGGTGCCTAACAGCTAGTTTTCGGGGCCTCGGGCTGCGCGTTTCGGCCCCCGAACCTTCATTTTGCATCGGTTTGGGCTCATTTTTGGTGGAGACCTTATTTTCACTGTTAGAAAGCTTGTAGGAGGGTGGGAGGCTAGCAATTTTACTGAAAAGCCAACTTCTTTTTGGTCAAAAGTGGTTCAGCATGAATCCGGGAAGGAGAAAAATCTGCGCGGCTTCACCGAAACGGGCATAACTCTTTGCACAAGAGGAATTAAGATATGAGGCCACCACCATTGGAAAGCTTACTTCCGGGGCTTCATTTTTCACTCAAGAATCTCCCAAGTCCAAGTCCGGGGAGGGGGAGATGTGGTTGGTTGAAGTCTGGTTGGACCGAATCTGCGCGGCTTCACGGAAAAGGGCATAACTTTTTCTACAGGAGGAATTTTAATGCAAGGTTTGCGCCATTGGAAAGATAACTTCTGGGGCTTCAACCTAGGGGGTGGCCGGCCACTTTTTTCCCATTGAACTAGCCAGCCGGCCACTTACTTGGTGGATGACTTTTTTCCCCCTTTTAAACTGGCCGGCCATTTTTGCCCCTGTGAGTGCATTCCAGCCATGTATTTGTTTTTACACTTCACCTATGTCCGAGGGTTTGACACTTTTGGAGGGAAACTTGACTCATTTTTCCCCCCTTTTTTCCCCCTCCTTGGCTTATATATCAGCAGCTCCAGCTGCTGGTTGAGGGTTAGAAAAAATTCCCTCAAGCCCTTTGCATTGAATCTCTCTCCCTCTCCATCTCCATCTCCAAGCTTCCATTCTTCAAACCCTACACCATTTTACACTACACCACCAAGCCCTACCCTTCCATCCTCCACTCCAGCAGTTTGAGGGTGTTCTCCAGAGCTTAGGGGTGCTGCAAACTCAAGCCAAGAGTTGCTAAAGACTTGTCTCCAAGGGTAAGTACCAATTCCCTCTTTTTGAGCTTAATTTTGCAACATTTTTCTAGCTAGTTTGCTTGCTGTTTTGAGCTCCGGCAAAAACTGAAAGTACTCTTTATTTGAGCTCTATTTCATGTTTCATTAAGGGACTTTTGTCATTTGAGGTCTCCATCTTGCACTTGCTTCATTATCCCCCTTGTATGCCATAATCTTGCATAGTATTTTTGGCCTGTGTGTGATCTGTTTTGGAGCATGATGTAAACTGTAAGTGAGCTTATTTTGAACCTCTCTTCAACATTGAAGAAGGGCTCATCACTGTTTGGGACCTCCATGTACCACTTGTCATTATATCCCTCTTTGGTCCCCATTTTTGCATGATTTATTATCCCATCATGCTTCTGTTTTTGGTCTTTTTATAGAACTGAAAATAGTCTTATTTTGACCCATTCTTCATGTTTCATTAAGGGTCTTTGGCTGTTTGATGAATTTTTTGTATACTTTGTGTTTTGACCTCTTTTGGGCCCTACCTTGCATAGCATGTTGAGCATACTTGTATATTGTTTTGGGGGTTGCCATAAACTGTAAGTAGTCATATTTTTGGTCCCTCTTCAGTGTTGTAGAAGAGCCTTTTTCTGTTTTGGCTTTGCATCTACCACTTGCTTCATTATCTCACATTTAGGGCCATTTTTGCATGCTAGTTTTGCCATCCTTTTGTTTTCTGTTTGGCCATGCTTTGAACTGTAACAATGCTTGTCTAGGGGCTGCCTTGCTTCTGTATTTTCATTCCATGTACCAATTATGCATGCTTTGTATAGCTGTAAGCCATTTCATGTACCTAGTTTTGCATTTCGGGAGAAATTCCATGCATCGGGTGTCATTTCGCCTCGTTTCGGGGCTGTTTTACCCCTCATTTTGCTATTGAAAATTGCATGTTTGCATATCATTTTCCATGTCTTTGCCATGCTTCATTAGAGTGGCATTTCAGTGCCTGAGGGTCGGTCCTCGGTTTGCGTGCACGCGTGCACGCATTTCGAGTTGTCTTGTTTTCATCTGATGGCCTCCTATGTGAGTGTGGCTGAGGCTCTCTCATGTTGGTGTAAGCCCATTATTGCATTGCGTATGCCATTTCATCCATAGCATTGTGCATGCTCGGTTGTGTATTACCTTATTGCATTATGTATGTCATTCCATAACATTGTGTATGTTAAGATTGTATCTTAGTTGCATTTCATGCATGTCATGCATATTGCATTGTGTTCGGGATAGGAGTTAGCCCGGGCACGGGAAACGAGGTGCGTTTCGTATTCCGAGTGACAGAACGTGTTTCAATTCCAAGTCACCGACACTCCGGATTATCCATGATGGAGTTAGGTTCTTGTTGCGTTTATATGTGCATTCATTCTATATTGAATTGCACAATTCGACCCCTCGGCCATCATGCATCGAGATACGTGATTGGTGGCACGAGGATCGAGGAATGCATATATCTGTGAAAATACATTGCCATGCCCTTTTCCTGCTCTCTGTTGCAGCAAAAAAA